AGATTTTCGGAAAGTCGAGTAGTTTCTAAGACTAAGAAGTTCATTTTGAATATATTTCGATGGAAGTATCTTGACTAGAAGAGTTTTTAGAGAAATTTGGTTTAAAATAACTTCTTCATCAAGCTCTTCTACAAAAAAATAAAGAAGACTCGTCAAATGAGCTCTTATAAGGTGATTAATATCTTAGTGCATTTGAAGTATGAGATTTTTTATGATTATTTTATTGCCGTTGAAGACACTGGTCAGAGAGACTATTAAAGAAGTTATTCTCAAAATGTTCAAATTAAGTTACTGAGAAGAAACTAAAATTAACTTTGGTGTTGTCAAAATTCGGATCATTGATTTTCAAAATAGATTTTGTTGATATCCGACCTCCGACCTCATTAAATATAATTTGTTATATGCATTAAGCTCATGCTAAATTAAGGTCGGATATTTGAGGTCAGCTCATAGTACTAACCATCGTTATTTGTGGAGACATAATGGTTGAAGATTCCTTACACGTCAAAACGTCCAATCATTCAATTACATTTGGACAGGCTCGTGTCAGCACCTCCTAATTCTACAAACCATATGTTATAGCTTCATTCCCTAATTAGTTCATTAATTACTGGGGGGCACATGCAAAATAGATCCATGATGACCTGTTGGAGCCGACTGTATCAACCAATCAAAATATGCTACTAACGTACCTCCTCAACTCGGCCCTGTACATAGATTTGACAACAACCAATCAAGACAAGTCATTAGCATGAGTTCCCAGCTCGGTACCTGTAGCTGATAAGACAAAAATACGACGTATACATGCTTATCCTTCTTTATAAAAAGGAGGACGGTATCCTCAAGAAAGGGAGGACACTTCATACTTAAAATATCTCATTTGAAATGAAAGGAAAATACTTTTAGTTTACTCTTGTAATTTACAAGTCATTACCAATAAAAATCATCATTTACTTTCTAAGTTGGCTTGAATTTTGTCTATACCGTTTTTGACATCAACAAATTTTGAAATGGATGAATGTGATATTGCGAATTGTATGTTGTCAATCAAGATTGTATGAGTAACATGATTAAAGAAATTGACATTTTTCTGGTGCATCATTATGTGTGTGTGTATATATATATCACCATAAACAACCGTCTAAACAAATTCAGATTATCGGAAAATTTTGAGTTGCTCCTTCGAGTCTTTGACTGCTAAACATTGAATCGCATCTTGTGTATATGAGGAAAACTAAACCATAAGTTTTTAATCTATTGCTTCAAGTTAGTTTTCAAACTTTCTTTCAATATAAATGCACAATCAGATCCTCGCTATAGAAAATTGTTCTGATTTAAGTTAAGTTGTCACATAATTCGAATATCTAACATTATGAAGCAAGATTTTGGTCCTAGATTAAAATGATGTCCAGAATTTTTAAATGAAACATAATTTTACGAGGATCATGTAATAATTTAACAAAAAATTAGACGATTTTCATTAATGAATACTAACTATGCAAAATGAAATAGTGAATACCAATTTAGTCGAAGATCAACTTGCAGGCTCAAGGGGACCAATAGATTGAATATGAATATTGCAATTTTGCTTTAGGTAGGAGTCTCCAAGACCCCTACCCCACCAACCCTACCCCACTCCAGGTAGAAGAGTAATTTTTTGTCAGCTTTGGGCAGTTTGTGGATAGGTTAAAGAATACTACTAGGACTGCAAGCAACCTCTCTATCTAAAGTAAGCTTTAAGTTTGCTTGCGTCATAAATCATTTTGCATGGTTTTCGTACTTGTTTCTGCCATGCACAGCAACACTCATTAATCCAATCTGCATTTATACTCTCATTACTTTCTGGTAAATTTAATGGGTAAAATTTTCATCTGATAAATAAGGGGTGTGTTTGGCAGTCAAGAAATTAAGAAAAAGGAAGTGGGTAGATTTATAATCCTTTGTCTTTAACTGTATCTTGATATTGGTGATTGTGTTACCAATTATGGTGTCTTTTCACTCAACTGACTTATTTGCAATTTTTCCTGCATATTTCTATATTATTCACATTTTCATCTGTGTTTCATAAATTTGTTCTGGCTAGGTTTTGGAATGCTAAAAGTCTTTTGCAGTCCTAGAAAAAACTAAAGTTTCTTGTTTGAAATATGAGAGGTTGGTGAGATTACAAATTTAAGGAACAAAAATGAAAATCCTTGTTAAAACTGCAAAAAGATAAAGGCCATAATTCAAATGAAACTAGGCTCCTATTTGGTTCAGTTAAAAAAAATTAAAATATAAATTAAAATCAAGAATTAATATTAATCCCGCATTCCATCAACTTTTATCAAAATCTACTAAAAATTTTATTTTTATCTAAACCAAATAGGGGCTAGGTCTAAACCAAAAACTTTATTACACATTGAACCAAAATTAGACAAAGTACCGCGTGTCTTTGTCCCAATTATTGTAGTATATACTTCACATAATACATAAGGGGCACCTACGATGAATTGATATCATCCTCACCTTCCTCTAACTTGTTACCCATAGTATTTAGAGTTCCAAACTCAATGATGGTAATTGAACATGAGAGTTGCACTTGTTCAGCGTCTTAACCCAACATCTTACTGCACATATTTTTTATATGGTATCTTGAAAATGCTCTCTCACATGTAGGATAAATTCAATATTTCATAAGAAACTTGACACGCGCAAAAAATTCAGTTGCAAAACTTGAACTTAACATCTTTTTCTGCTTTCATACCATATTGCAACTCGTTATTTAAAAGCTTAAGCTTTAAGCTGGAGTGTTTAAATAGTTTATTAACATAACATCCAATTTTTCATGGCAGATTAACTAAGCTTTGAATACATCTAAGGTTAATTGCAGGGATCATATAAGTTATTATTCAGACAATCATACATGATAAATAATCAGTTGCCTGCTCATATTCTTAAGCAAATACATGAAAGGAAAAAGACAAGTTTTTGTAAATATTACCTTAGAAAAATAAACTGCATGCAGAACAATCAACAAATAAGCCTAATACAACAACGAAGTGAAGCAATAAAAAGCCACCATAGTTAAATTTCTCACCTCCCAAGTTACAAGTCAAGACAATACGTCTTCGTCTTTCATCAGCTGCTTATAATCTCTTTCTAAATTGATCAGAAACAACTTGATGCAGATTATATATCTTGAATGTGATTTTCCTACCCTAATTTGTTGAGTTTCAGTCCATAATTCTCCCACATGTTATGATCATCCCCCATAAAGTACCTAAAGCAGCTATCATTCATTGCATTTCCTGTGTTGCTATTAGAAGGTGAAGCCTCATGCCCTAGTCCACTGGTATTATCACAAAAGGCTCCTCCATGATTATTGCTCATAGACTCATTATTCTGACAGTAATATAAACAGGGTTTTGGATTCTCCTTTCTTTTCTTGTTGCACTTGATTACATAATTATTGACACTATCCCACTTTTCTTTGCAGACTAAAGCACTCCTGTCATATCCAAAACATGCCATTTTTGTTGCTATTCCTTCCCACAGAACTTCTTCTGAAATCCCACCTTGTTGAAACCTTGAGTCCAAATTAGATCTCAATTGGACTAGCCTTGTAATCTCACATTCCGGCCAGATATCTCCCTTTTCATCGTTGTTCTGGTTTTCGCTTAGGCTTCGAGTTTCTGCTGCCATCAATTCGTCAGACGGTGAAGCCTTAAGTTCTTTACCAGTAACGTTTCGTATAGCATCCATTAGTGCAGCATACCGTGCTTCGATCCATCCTCTTTCATTAGTCCAGAACTTGTGCTCTTTTTCTATTCTATCTGCATCTTGTTTCCTCCATTCTTCCTCTCTTATCATCCTCTTTTGTTCTTTGTCCTCTATTGTCCTCATCATTTTCTCCATCCAAGCCTCCTGTTTATCCATCAATTTCCTCATTTTTGCATCAATGAAGTCTTTTATCTTTGCTTTCCACCTCCTCTTACCCCTTTTCTTCTGCCTATTAGCACTCGAGTCGTCGATTATTCCTCCATTAACATCTCCTTCATCTGATGAAGTAGTATCAAAATCAGAAGAATTGGATAGACTAAGGCAAGTATCTGAGAGCTTTGGAGCCTGATAAACTTCTTGCTGATTAGGTGTTAAAACGTTATTGGTGGACATATTGTATCGAAAAGTGCTTCCGGCAAGATGTGTTTCCGAGACTGGGACTGTATTGCCGATTTCACCATAAAGCGCTTCGAGCTGGCGAAAAAATCTGTAGTGCTTGCCATCCTGTCTACCAGCCTTGCCTTCTTTAGTCTTCTTGTAATACTTGTACAAATTCTCAAACTTCTCTCTGCATTTCTTGCCACTCCTCTGATATCCATGTTCCTCAGACATATTTAGTCTTCTTGTAATACTTGTACAAATTCTCAAACTTCTCTCTGCATTTCTTGCCACTCCTCTGATATCCATGTTCCTAAGACATAATCAAGAAAAAAAAAAAAAAAAAACATATAATGGATAAATTTAACTCTGCAATATCAAGAAATGAAATTGGTGTGATAAAATTATGAACCCTAGCTTTTTTTAGTAATAAATAGTCCAAAATCTTCATGCAAAGGATAGACAATCTCGTCTAGTTTTATTGATTCTGAAGTGAATAGAAACAACGTTAATTTGATATGACTATTCGAAGTTTTACAGAAAGTGGTCTGAGGAATTTGAAAGAGCTGTTTCTCAGGTCTTTTCAAGAAAACAAAACTAGAAAATTATTTCTAAAACGTCCAAAAATTTAGCCCTTTTCTTGAAACAAAACCCTCGCTTTAAGATTTATAGAAGTAATTGTGAGATGTCTCTTGCCTCCTGGTAAAATGCCAGAATAAAAGCAGTACCTGAATCTCAAACAACTGTGCTCTGTCATTTTCTATATGAAAATTCGGAAAGTAGGACGAAAGTTCGTCGTTCTATTCAGTTAGTTTTGGCGATACATCTTTTGTCAAGTCCAGTGTTGGAGGACAAGCCAAACTGAACTGTATCGCGAGGGAGGATAAGAGGGATCGTTCTCAATCTCAATTATAACAAAGTGGATGATGTACACAAAACAGTGAAAACTGAAAACGCTGGGGACACAAGCTTTCAAAGGAGAAATCCACTCAACAGCCCCACTTATCAAAAGAAAGGAACTCAAGAAAATAATTGAAGTGACTCCCACCCCAAGAAAAAAAAGTTTTTAAGGGCTTATGACTGTAAAATGACATTAAGAAGATGAAAATCTTTGGTGAGATTCGGAAGAATTCAGTTGTTTTCTTGCAACAGGCAACACAGTTTGACAGAAAAAAGAAACAAGTTTTATATACCTTGAGACTTCATCCCACAAAGGACCCTTTTGGTTGGCCTCCTTGAACTTGGGATCGAGCCTCGATCTGATCTCAAGAAGAGTAAGTGTCTCTTGCCTAGGCCACCGCCCAGTGCCACCATCACCACAACCATTAAGCCCAACACCCTCCAACTCAAACCCACCAAAACCACCAGCACTACTAGACGAACCACCACCAGCAGTAGTATTACTAGTTGTAGAATCAGACCTAAACGCCGGCTGAAGTCCAGGTGGTATCATGAACATGTCGTACTGCTGCGGCTGCGTCAACCCGGGATGGTGGCCGGATAACAAGTCGGCTGCCGGAGAAATTGGTGGAAAGAAAGGCCTCCGGTTCATGTATTGCCTCAGATCGGCCATTCCAGTTTCATCATCCATGACCATACACTCACTTCTCCTTTGTATTCGAAGAGAGAAGGGGCCTACGCTGAAAGGAGCGACAGACCCGGATCGTGTTCTTAAGAAAAGAGGTTTTGAATTTATTTAGAGGACAATGGACCCATGTCCCTGCTTCAACTGATGCAATGTAAAGCTCTCTTTCTCAGTCTTTTTCTCGTATAGTATACATGTAGAGGATACTGATAAATTTATGAATAGGGTGAGATGTTAAATGTATAGATTAAAATTAGATTTTCAATACAAATTAATAAAGGCTTGTTTGTCTCCCTTTATTTGAAAATATTGTTTTCTACAGTAACATATTTCACCATACATTCAAATAATAAAATATTCTACACAGTCCTCTGGTCATAGTTCAGTGGTGCAAAGGATATGAATAATGTAGTCTCAGCTGAGCTGACAGCCGCAGTGTGTGAGAGTTCGATTTCTGCCTCTTACAAGGTATGAAATTGAATTCTTTGTAAGTACCAGTATAGTAGCTATTGTACCCTGACCTGTTGAGACACATCCCGCGATTTATCTCCTCCACAATGCTACGGGGCGGTGGGGGGCCCTCAAGGTTGGGGTTCAACCTTTAATAAAATATTCTACACACAAACTAATAATTTTTTTAAAAATTTTGACCACACATTCTCCAAAAAATAGTATTCAAAACTTCATTCTTTCTCCCATAATGGGAGACAAACATGGGCAAAATACGTTGTTGAAAAGTTGTGAAATCCATAAAAATATATGACTAAAATTAATTATTGATTAAGATTTAGATTAAAATCTAAATTTAATCCCCACCAAACATGAATATATTATCGTATTGCATAGAAATGGGTTGTTAAGCCAACTCTACACAATTAACACATTTATTTTTTTTAAATTTAACTTCCAACACGCTTTTATCATTATATTAAACTTCTATCAAAGTCGTGATGTGTGGGCGCAAATACATAGCCCACGTTTGGTCTAGTAATCAGAATTTTAGTAGATTTAGATTAAAAAAAATGATAAAACGTGTGATTAAAAAGGTAATAAAAGTTACGAGTTCATGAAATGTGTGGTTAAAATCTTAAATTTTTATCAATTTTTAATCTACACCATATACGAGCATAGTTTTCATAAATGACTAAACGTCTCAAATGCTAGGAATTGGTATCTTGGTAGCATGCAAGTTGAAAGATGATGTCTAATAAATAGAGACTTAAATTGAAAATTGGTTTCCAGTGATCGTCTTCAATCTATAACTAAATAATGCTATATAGGTGTCCTTTATTTTCTAAAATAAAAACAAAAGCACATCTAACAGGAACATCGTTTTTTTTTTTTTTTTTTCTATTTTTTTTTTTTTTTTTTTTTTTTTTTTTGGTGTCACATGGGCTTGATAATGTCCTTATAATATTGGAAAGAATTTTTTTAAATAATGTTTTATTTTTTGCTTATGTTGCGAATTTTTTGAGCAATCCATTGAAGTATTAGAGTTGTGATCTTATACTTGAATCAGATTCTTAAACTATGTTGACAATCACTGGCGGACGGACCCACATGAGGTCATATGACCCCACAATTTTTTTATTTTTTTTTCGTTTTCCTCGAGTTTTTTTTTTTTTTTTTTAGAATTTTCATTTTTGACCCCCACAAGAAAAATGGTCTCGGTCCGCCCCTGTTGACAATGACTTTACTATCACCTAAATGCAGAGACAGATTTAAGGGGGATTGGGCCGGCTGTAGCTCGATCCAGTCCTTGGCACCCTTTTTTTTTAAGTGTTAAAAAAAAATCTTGTAATTTTTTTTCTTAATGTGTAAATTAATTTTTTTCTATATATTAGTCCGGCTTGTAGTTCGGTTCTAGATCCGTCCTTGTATAAATGAATGTTAAGCTTCACTTAAGTGTTCGGTGTAGTTTAAAAGTTGATAAAAATGTAAAAATGAATAATTAATTTTAATTACATAATTCATGGGACACAATTTTCAATCACATATGTTATTAATTATTATTGAAATTTATTAAAAAATTAATTTTTAACTAAACCAAACGGGGACTAACTTTAGTCAATCTACCCATTTATTTATTTGAAATTAAGCCCAGTGTAAAGTGAATAAAGAGGAGGCAAATGTCAAAAAGTGAGAAGATGAAATAGTGCACAGTGGACTGCTCTTCTCCAAGCTTCTACAGTTGTTTTGATTCTGCTTTTTTGACTGCTCTCTTTGAAGTTCTCAATGGTCAGAATTCACAATGGACAACAACAGAAGAGAAGAGGGTCTCTCTCTAAAATTACACTCTTCTGAGTATCACTACTGTCTCTTCTGTATAAAAATTTGACATCATTTAACAAATGATGATGTTTCTTAAGTTGACTGTTTAAGTATATATATATGCCTCTCATATTCCTTTTGTTCCTAGATCTCTACCTACACTACCTGACCACCATTAAGATAATGTTTTTGAATTTTAAAACCTTGATTTTCAATAGTGTAATCTCATCTTTCCAAAAAGAGAGAATTTTTTTTTTATCGGGGCTCGAGGGAATAACTAATAAGGGAAACCAATATTTCCTTGTTATTATTTATTTGTCTTTTTTTATATTGTGGGGCTGAACTCAATCAAAGCTACCATTTTCTCGGTTGAGAATGTGTCACAAATAGGGGTGGACACGATCCGATTTGATTCGATTCAATTTTCGGGTATTTATTAAATAGAACTGTCGGGTCTGAATTTAATTATGGAACCGTTCAAGTTCAATTCCTTTTGGTTCGGTTCGGTTATATTCGGTTTCGAAATTTCGTACAATAATTAAATTTTTTTAATATTACAACAACGCTACATTAATTCAACTATGACGTATTCAATCTTAACTCTTACAAAATAACGTAGTACAATCTCACGATATCTTTTGCACCTCTATTTGTTGAGTTTTTCGTAGATTTGACTGTTAAAATCACAGGAAGAGGAAGATGACTAGTTCATAATAGTAGAACGGTAGTTTTTCAATTTTTGGTCTAGAATCGAGAATCGAACCAAACTCATCAGTTCTCGATTCAGATATTCATTCGGATATTTAACCTAAGAAGAACCGCTCGAGATTCGGTTCAAAATTTTTGTCTAGTCCTAGCCACAGTTATCAAATTGTAAGTGAAAATGGAAAATTAAAAGTGAGTAATAAGACAAATGATTTAGGTTGTTCACTATCCATGTGAGAGATGCTTCTTCAGTTGTGTCACCTTGATATATATATGCACTTATGACATCAAATTTACCTTATGTGGATTTGCAATCGAGAGGAAAAAAGTGATCAATATAATTAGACTCTACACATCCAACTATACACACTGGATCTATATATTACCAGGTATTGTTTATAGTTGTTTTATGTCCTTATCGAAGTTCTTCTATGTTGTGGATAAAACACATGATCTCGTATTATTAAACGTAATGTAAAAATATAAAATTTAAAACTGGCAATAAAAAAATATACAATTTAGTGTCGCTCGTTTTGAACATGAGATCGATGAAAAATTGAAGGTACATACATGAACATTTCCATGGCCTAAACGACAAGATGAGAAAGACAAACTGGTGACATTTTCAGAAGACAAAAATGTGGAATCAATATTGGGTGATGAGGGGCCAAAATAAAAGAGAAGGCTATGGCCATGCTCTAAATGGTATATGTACTATAGCCCAAAAAAGGGGGATAATGCCTCAAGTCTATGGGGTCCTATGTACTATTTTCCAAAAGATCACTCATCTTTCCAATTGGAGATAATAATACTAATATTTTTGTGTCAAATCCCCCACTCCACTTTCGAAAATTATAAAGTAGTTAAGTGGCACACTTATTGATGTGAAATAGATGGTTTGATTTGTTATTTTTAGACCTGTTTGATGCACATTATTGAGTGGATAATGCATTTTAAATAGTGATTTGATGAAAAATATGCGTTTAAAAAATAAGGAAAAATTTTGGATTTGCGTGTAATATTATTTTATTGAAGAATGTGTGGTTGAAAATAAGAGAGAAAAATGTATTTTGAAAATAATGACATCAAACAAGGGCTTACTTTGTCATAGAATATTAATTTCCATTTCTATTTGATACACATTATTGAGTGGAGAATGCATTTTAAATAGTGACTTGATAAAAATATATTGTTAAAAAATAAGGAAAAATTTTGAATTTGCGTGTAATATTATTTTATTGAAAAATGTGTGGTTGAAAATAAGTTATGAAAAAATGAATTTTTGTAAGAATGTGGATCAAACATGGTGTTAATAAGAGGAGAGTTTTTTTTTTTTTTTTCTCTGGGACTATTTATGATGTCATATTTGTGCAAGTTTTTCTATCTTTTTCAGAATTTTTTTTTTTTTTTATTACCCTTGGTAAAATATAATATACAAAAATGTAAAATTTAAAAATATGGTATGTAAAGTGTAAATACACCCTATGTGTAGGGTGTATTTTGTAAATTTTCCTTAATAAGAAAAAGGTTAACAAAAGTTTATAACAAAATTGTTAGCAGTTTTGTGTAGTCACGCACCCACAACTCTAATGAGAGTTCACATTTTGAGATTGCATTGGCATATTTTAAATGCAAAGAAGGTTTTAATTCAACAATTAGCGAAGAGTCAGCACTTAAGTTTAACGGAAATACTGCCAAACTAGCCATCTTGAATCGAAATTGCGATTTTGAAATTGTTGGCTTGGTTCCATGTGGATCATCAACGTTTCGATTCAAAATCAAAATTATCCAAATTAAATTGTGTTCACTCTTGTATTGGATTCTCAAAGTGTTGGATATAGAGGAAAAGACATCATAAATTATGAAAGAGAGATGAAAGAAGAAATAAAGAGATTTGATTCTGGAATGGAAAGGAAAATAATAATGGTTTCTTTGAGTTTGATAGAGACTTCAGATTGGTTAGGAGTGTTGAACCGATTCTTACTCGAGGTGAGTATATAAAGTTAGGACCTAGTTCTAAAAGAATTCTT